GGCCGTCTTCCACGGTCCCTCTCTCTCATCCCTATCGATCATTTTGACACACGGATCGCGCAGTCCATTCTCATTGGCCCGTATTCAGAACGCACTTTTATCGATAAAAGCGCACTTTTATCTCTAAAATTCTATAGTATACGTGACGTAAACTATAGTTAGTGCGCTAACATCGTTGTTAGCGCGTTCTGAATACGGGCCTATGTCTTTGACGAAAACGAACAAAGCTCGAGTGTAGTGGGTGTAGTAAGTGTAGTAAAAAAAGTGTAGTAAACCGAAAATCATCAAAAATTAACTTTACAATTAGACCCGATCTTCAAGTAGGGTGTATTCCATTTCACGCATGATGCATCATTTATCATTATTGTTTGAGTGAATGTTAAGTAAGGATAAATGATGCATTATGCGTGAAATGGAATACACCCTATTTGAAGATCGGGTTTAATTTTTGACGATTTTCGCTTTGTTCATTTTCGCAATGGGCGCGTTCAGCGGACTCAACAGTTGAGTGAGCGCTTACTATTATTGGTGCGTTTTTCTAGATTAAAAATTTTGATTACCCAGGTAGCAAATATACGTTATTTTGACGTCAAATTTGGGTCATTTACTGACCATGACTGCCGTCACTAAATGACGTCTTAATGACGTACTAATGACGTACTAATTCGCAAAATTATTGACGTCATTGCAAGGACGTCATTTTAACATCATGTTCCCAGATAACAAAATGCGCGCACAATGGTCTCACAGTGCATTCACGCGTGCAAAATTATCCGCACGCGTGAATGTCATGCGCATGACAGAAGTGTCCTTATTTGGGTGCCATATTGCTCGCACGCATGTGGACGCACACAAAAAAAAAAAGTTACAGCAGTTCTTATTAATTAGATTTCTTTCTCCATCATTTGTGTCCTCTCCTTAAGTGCTGAACTGACTAATAATACCTAGGAAAAAACTTTTAAACCTGATAGGATTTGAACTCGTGACTTGATCCATGGTCCTGTTCTGAGTCGTTCACCTAACGTACTGCTCCACTGTTACCTTATTGACAGAGATGTTTCAAATTGTCTATATATACTTTTAATAAAAATATTTTGTCTACCCAAACAGATTATTTTGTTAAAATTACAAAAAAAACACTTATTTTGTAATGGCAACAAAATTTTACCTTGTTATTTACAAAAAGTAAGTAAGCAAATAAATTTGTACCGTCGCTAAATAAAAAAATTTACAATATTTTGTTCATTTAACAAAAAAATTGTATTTTGTTATTTTAACAAAATAATTTAATGATAATCAGCTATTTGTGTTTAATTATTTCTTTTTGGTTACTATTACTATATCTTTTTTCTTATTAAAAGGAAAATTAAGGAGAACCAAAATATGACGTCATTATAACGTCATTATGACGATGTCATAATGACGTTAGCCCGGATCCTCATACGGGCAACAGCGCTTTGACACCAAACGTTGATTGGTGAAAAACCGGTGGCGAGGGTAAAATTTACCCCCATAACCCGTTTTTCACCAATCAGTGTCCGGTGTCAAAGAGCTGTTGTCCGTATGAGGATCCGGGCTTATAATATCGGTTGGTCACTTTTTGGTCACTGACGTCATTCGTACCAACATGACCAGAATTTGACGTCAAAATGACGTGTGTTTGCTACCTGGGTAGATGATCTAAAAGAATACACCAATAATAGCGAGCGCTCACTCAACTGTTGAGTCCGCTGAACGCGACCGTATAAATCTATTGAATTACAAAATAGCGACTTTTCCCAAATGAAAATAATAATAAAGACGTTTTCCCCAAATGATTTCCGATCGATTCCATTCATAAAATTCATTAAATAAAATCGCTGTCTGCTAACTTGTTACATGAGAAAATTTGTTAATAACAAGAAAAATACTATTACCCAAATGTTTAAATGCTTTTCCCAAATTTCCCCAAACGATTCCCAAATTATATACACATAAATAAATCAAAAATATTCAGTTTGTCTGCTATCTTGTCAGTGGTGTATACATGGTGTGCTCAATACTTGTGACTTTTCAGTTTCTGATCTGAAAATCCATGGAGAAGCTGAAATTGTGCCAACCAGTAGAAAAAAAAAATGAAAAGTAATGTTGGTAAACTTGTTCATCTACTCGTCCTTGTCACACCCTATGCAATAGAGGAAGACGCATCACCAGGATCATGAAGGAAGATATAAGGAGACTCCACTCGGTCTCGCCAGTCTACAAGACATGAACCCATTTTAGGTTTCGAGTTCCGTTTCCGATTCTCGACACTCGCAGCGCTCGTGAATTTAGTAGTGCTGCGCATGAGTGCGAGTAAGAGAAATGATTATTTCTCTTACTCGCACTCATCAGAATCGGAAGCTGAACTCGAAACCTAAAATGGGTCCACTTTTATTTTACGGAGTGGAGTCTCCTTATATCTTACTTCCTGACCAGGATAAAGCGGGGAGCATAGACTTTTGCATAACGCATAAACCACATACATAAAGAATTTGATTGGTCCATTGACTCATGCATAAGAAAATGGACCAATGAAATTCCTTATGCACATGCTTTATGCGTTATGCAAAAGTCTGTGCTCCCCGCTTTAAGTTGAAAGCAACTCGTGGATATACATACCTATATACAGTACGTATATGAAGCGGAGCAAAATAGCGCACAAAATAGTGCGTTGCGTGGTTAAAGTTTGCAGAAACAATAGTGATCAGTGCCGTAAAGATGTAAGTTTTTTCAAACTACCGTCAAACGAGGTTATTCGCGAGGGATGGCTGCGTAAAATCGTTGAGGTTATATTACCCAACAAAACTGAATTCGGTGAGTTTATGGGTGAGTTTTTTAATTCATCGATTGATCAATCGCATGAAGCGCAAATGCATCAAAGAGTTCTTTTATTTATCGATTGAATACATTGATGCGTTTTTATTTACAGCGCTGTAATCATCGCATATCCATCAGATCCATCGACTAATTTAGTCGATGGACCAGGGCCTCGTAACTGCTGGTATCAGCGTTAGTGGCGCCGCCGCTGTATGACACCCGGAAATACGGAACTAATATTCAATATGGCTGTCAAAATCAACATGGACGCGTATTGACGCGTATTTACAAAGTGTCTGGCAGTGATTTTTTGCGGTGTCATTCGATTCGCCAAGATTTTGCCACCTTGTGCGGCATTTTTGATACTAGCAGTTTTGCCGTTCATTAAGAATCTAAGATTTTACGTTACTCACCGCCTTGTGCGGCATTTTCGATACTGGCCGGCCGTTTTGATCTATTTGATTGTGGGTCGCGGGTCGCGGGTCGCGGGCCATTTATTAAGAAGTGGAAGGTGTCTGGCAGTGTCTGGAGTGTTCACAGTGCATATAAATAACCGATTGTTAATAATTGACTTGATAAGATGGTGCGAGTATGTTGTATCCCGGGATGTTTATCAGGAAAAAACATTCCATCTCATATGTTTCCAAAAAATATTGAACGCCGCAACAAATGGTTTGAGAGTTTGAACATGAAACCAATAGAGAACGAAAATGATCTTAAGAAAATAAGAATTTGTTATAAGCATTTTTGTAATAAAGATTACAGTGGATCTTCAACAAGAAGAATTTTATTACAAGCTGCTATTCCATCCATAAATATACCGCAAAATGCAAATGATATGATTGTCGAACATATATCACAACACGCAGACGATACGAATGTCGAAGATATACCACACACGCAGACGATACGAATGTCGAAGATATACCACACACGCAGACGATACGAATGTCGAACATATACCACAACACGTAGACGATACGAATGTCGAACATGATCAGCAATATACTAATTCTGTTCAAGAAATGTTGGCTCGACAAAACAATCAATTGCAACAGCATGCAAAAATAATAATGCAACAACAAAATGATATCTGCAGTATTAAGAAGACATTGTCCAATGAAAGATCTATTCTTGGTGAAATTACTCGTAAAAGTTTATTGAGTCCTACCTCCCTGAAACTGTATTTTAAAGTTGTTAAAATGAAGCGAGAGAAAAGACGGCTAAAGAGACTACTGAGAAAAACTGATTCAAAGAGAAATATTGGTACTAAGAGAAATACTGATACTAAGAGAAATACTGATTCAACGTTACAGATTAGACAGAATTTTATTAATATGCTCCAAAGAAACAATGATGTACCATCACAGGTATATATGTCGTCTCATTAAATTGATCTTATTGTAATTGTCCTATTATCGTGTTTGATATTTATAATATTACTAGCTGTTTATTAGTTATAAAAGAATAGAAGTATACAAACGATTTCTTACATATTTTAGAATATTTTTACGGTAATAAATGATATTGATGCTTAGATAGATTTTATCCTCTCATTTCTATTCTATATGTTTTTGAAATCATTGTTTATTTAGTTATTCTTTTTTCATTCGAAATGTGGTTCAATTTTTTAGAGCATTTCTCTTCTTTTAATAATTTAATTATTGTAACAAATACTAAAATCTTCTTAAGACCGTACAATTGATAAACAATAAACATACAAGAAGATTCAAGAATACAAGAAAAATTTTTCAGCACGCGATTAGAGGGACTACGCAGTATATAAAATTCACACATAATTTTAATAAGCATTTGTGATCCAGCTTTGACCGTTATTGGTTTCCTTCTTCTTGTATGTTAATTACTGTAGTAAATTGATGTAAAAAATTATACAAAAAAAATACAATTATATAATTATTATTGTTTTTTTCTACTATAATAGGGTAGACGTTATACAGTTCAAGACAAGTTATTTTGCTTAGGAATTTACCGAAGATCTACGGCTGCGTATAAATTTATTTCTAAATATTTGCCGTGCCCTTCCACGTCTACTTTAGATAAGCAATTGCAAAAGATTACTCTCCAATCTGGATGCAATAAAATCATTGTAAAATATTTAAAAGTAGTCGCTAAAGAAGTAAATCCCAAAGATTTAAACGTATTATTGATTTGGGATGAAATGTCGTTGCAACCTTTTGTTCATTATAATAGGAAACAAGATAAAGTAATTGGATTTGAAGACTGGGGGATTCAAAGAACTAGAAAATTTGCTGATCATGTTATTGTATTTTACATTCGATGTCTCGCATCTGGTAATCACATGCCTCTTGGATATGGATTTTGTCAAAGTGCAACTCGAACTGTTCAATTACTAAACTGTATAAAACAGTGGTTAATAGTCCTCATTAACTGTGGTTTTAAACCAAAGGCAACCGTGTGCGATCAAGGAGGAACAAATATGGCAGCTGTTAATATGTTCATAAAAGAGAGCAATGATGTACGACGTCGACAGAATAAGAATCCAAGTAAATCGTATTTAATATTGAATTTTATAAACTTTATTAATGAAACAATTTATTACTTAATTTTATTAATGTACAACTTAATAAAATTTTCATATAATATATCCTGATAAGCTTTATTTTTCTCGTAGAAAATACATTTCTATTCAAAAACCATGAGATCGTTCCTTTATATGATTACGTACACCTACAAAAAGGTATACGAAATAATTTGTTGACAAAAGATTTGGTTAATAATAAATATGAGAAGGAGTCACAAAAACAATACGCATCATGGAAAGATATTATAATAGCATACGAAATGGATAAATATTTGCTTTTAAAACATCGACAGATGCCAAAAATAATTGATCGACACATTTACGCCAATCAGATTTCAAAAATGAAAGTTAAATATGCCGTACAAGTAATTAGCCATACTTTTGCAAATTTCATTGATTTGGTGATTACAATGATTTGGTGGAAAAAGAGTAAATTGTATTTATTATAAAATGACGAATGAATATTAATAATTTTTATAATACAATTTTTATATAATAATAAATAAATAAATAAATAAATAATAAAATATATTTTATAACACAATAAATAAATATAAAATATAATAAAATATAAAATACTCTCTCAGTAAAATGATTAAATTACTTCAGTCATTTTTCATTTCAGGTTTTGTAAATACTTTGCTGGGAAAAATGTACTTACCGCCGAGTGCTGCAATGACAGGAAACATAATATTATTCTTTGATAAGTTGTTCGATTCCTTCAACCAAAAGAAAAATAAAGAATTTAACAGTATTATTAACTTATCAAGCAATCACATTTCATTTTGGCAAAACGCTGTTAATCGAATTTCCAAAATGGATTTTGTCGACAATGAAAGCCATAAATATGTATGACATAATACCAAATGTTTGAAGAATTGGATATGGACAATAAAAGGCGCAAAACTTTTGTGGGAAACACTGCAAACATGTGGATTTTCTTCGTTTAATTTAAAATTGCTCAATCAAGATGTTCTTGAGAACTTTTTCAGCCTAATAAGAGATCAGGGACACAGAAATAATAATCCCACCCCATATCAATTCTGTGCTTGCTTCAAAACGCTTTTAGTATCAAATTTCACATCCAAGCATTCTCTTTTCGGTAATTGCAAAGAAAATAACGAAGGTATAACATTATCTTTATCGACAATGATGTCTGCAACTAAAAATATTGAAGATGAAGAAGATGAAGAGACTGAATGTATAGAGGCTTCAATACCACCACTAACAAAAGGTTATCTGTTTGTGAATGAAGAAAAAATACTACGAAATATTTTAACAAATAAAAAGATTATGCAATGTACAGAATGTATAGAAAGTCTGAGAAGTGAGGATATCTTAAAAGGTATAGAGCACGCATTAAAAGCTGCAGAAGTGCAGTTTGTACAGTTCTGCTATACAATTGAAGTAAAAAAAAAATTACAAAGTGTTATATATTTGGAAGCATTGTCCAAACTTTCCACTCATTGCCCAAGCCTAATTAATTATTTAGTAGAAGAAACTGCACAACAGTTCATTATTCAATGGTGCATATTTGTTAATAAAATATTAAATGGAAAACTACAAGAGGACTATGAAAATAATTACATGTATAATGAAGCAAAAAGAATGTCAAAAAAGTACTCGAAACGGAAAATTGTTTAGAAAAAAAATATATAAGGTAATTATTTATGTTTATTATTATTATTTTATTCGTGTAAATTCGTATGTATATATATGTACATATATTTACAGGATGTCTCTGATCACCCAAGAAATCAGGATGTACTACATCAAGCGTTTTTTTTTCCCGTTTTATTACCAAGGAACGTATTCAGAAGATTCTTGCTGCTGGAACTAATGTCGTTCTTTTATCTGGTGGCAGATCATAATTTTAGTATAACAAAATCAGATCTTGTTGATTTAAAGTGGTGAGTTGTTTATCCTTTTTTTAGTTTGTCATGCAAAATAAAAAATTAAAATGAAATGTATTTATATTTTACAGGGTAGATCCTGATCGTGGGAAATATACGAGATAACTAAAAAGCAGGCGTGTTAGAACCGACCATTTCAAAAATGAAATTTTTTTAATTTGCCACTGAACAGCCATAACCATCATTCAAATTTGATGATATATGATCAAACTAGATCCCAAATGTTCAAAAACTTAAATCTTATCAAGACGCTATGGAAGCCGGTGAATTGGAAGGTTAATATTAAAATGCATTTATATATTATGTTAAATACAATGCGTTTATACAAAAGAAATATAAGATTTGTCACTGAATATATTATAAATATCTTACAATCAGGGAATGGAAGTAACTTGTTACTTGTAACGAAGTTACAGTTACAAGTTACTTTTTTGGTAACTTTACTGGTAACTGCGTTACTTTCTTTTTTTGGTAACTGTAATGGTAACGAATTACATTTTTTGGGTAACGGTAACGAAATTTAGTTGCTTTTGTCGTTACTTTGCACACGATTGAACACGGTTCGATTGGATGCATGCTATTTATAGCGCTCCCTGCACTAAATTCCAAATAAGTTCCAATAAGAGTTGGTATATATTTGACCAAATGCGGTTTTGTGCAGTGGACAGCCAGATATAACCAAATTTATACATACCTGGAAAATTATATTTGACCAAAATTAATTGTTATCTGTAAAAGCGAATATTTCCAAATCATCTGAAATTCCAGATATATCCTAATCATACTCTTAATTGGAAATGCTGATATGTTCCAATTGAGTGTGGAATTCTGAATATGTCCAAATCTATCTCGTTGTTGGAAATGCTAATGTGCCCAAGTTGTTCTGGAATGCCGAGTATATCCAAAAAATAATTTATATATTTGGAAGTATCTGGTATTCCACATATTTTTGGATATAATAGCATTTCCAAGTATGACTTATATTTACACGTAACTGAAATTTCTAGTATAATTTGGACCTATCAGCATTGTCGTATATGAATTAGACTTGGATCTATTGAGAATTCTAAATTATATTTGGTCATATTAGCATTTCCATACTGCAATAAGTGCTGGACATATTTTGATTTACAAAATTTGTGTAATAT